CCCTTCGTGTGAGAGCCCCCCATTTGGAGTGTAACATCTGCGTCTGTCACACGTAGCCTGTGTGGGATTTCAACCTGGTTTATGGGGTATCTTGACACCCAGAAAAGCTCTGGTGTTTTGAGGTCCAGTGTGAGGAGGTTTTTAATGTTTGGGACTGTTTGCCTTGCTGAGGAAGGCTGTGCTCCACTGAGGCTCACGCCACCACTGGGGTCCCCTCTGCCAGCCCTGCTGGGTCACAGGTGTGTCCTTTTAGGTCTACGGGTGGAGTGGGTGGAACTTTGTTTACCTGAGATACCCTGTGCTTGAGGAGACCCAGGTGTGGTCTCCCGGAGCAACCTGTATCTGGCAAAACACTCCCCTGCTCCCTCACCCTCAGCTGGGGCCTGCACCTATGTTTTCCACTCTAGAACCTCGGAAGCCTCAGCCCTGGCCGCCTGCCAGCAGCCCAAACCACTGATTTTCCAGGCGCCTGCCGAATGCTGAGTTGTGATTTCTGCTTTCTCCTCCAGAGGCTGAATTTCTGCTGTGTCACGGTTGGGAGGGGAGACTCAGAGGGACAAAGGGAAGGCAGATTATGCTGAGTCACCCGCCTGCGCAGCCCGCCTCTGGCTGCTTGGTGAAAGAGCAACTTTAACCGCAGGCAAGAAGAAATGAAACTTCTAGAAAAGGGCAGGCCCTTCCTATTTATCTCATTTTTTTTAAAGATTTATTTATGCATTAAGAACTGGGGTATAGGCCGGAGGTGAGGGGGGTAGAAGGGAGAGGACCCACCAGAGACAGAGTGGGGAGCAGAACAGACAGATCTACTGAAATACACTGCTGAGGGGAGCAGCGGGGAGACAGGAGAGGTGCTGCATCATGTGGGTCACCTCCCTGGCTGGGGATGGAGCTTCAGCTCCAGAGGCTGCTGGTAGCGTCACAGTGCTGAAGCTTGCACCACCAGGGAGGCCCTTATCTCCTTTCTTGCCCATTGTTTGCAAAGCCTGTCCCCTTCCATCTCCAAACTGACTTGTCCAAGACTGAGCTGTGTCCGCTGCCCCCTTCCCAGCATAGTAACCTGGCAATCCCATCTCCCAGGTGCTTGACCTAGTAACTTTCGGTTCTTCTTGACTCCCTGCCACATCACTTCCTCTTCTGAAACGCTTGATAGCCCTGCCTTTAAGATACGTCCTCTGCCACTTCTAGGCCTTCCTGTCCAGGCCCCCAACATCTCCGGCCTGGATCACTGCAGTAGGTAGGTGGCCTCTGCTCTTGGCCTTCTTGTGTGCAGCCTAACCCCAGTGACCACAGAGACCATCCCGGGAAAACCCAAGCCACATCCCCTCATTGCTCCAAACCCTCCTGTCTCTCCATCTCACAAAGGGTCCCTTCATGAAAGAAAATGAAACACGAACAAAATGCATGGAGGAGAAACCCAGAGCCAAGTCAGGGCCTGCGGGAAGAGTGCATGGGCCTCCCCTCGGCCTTCAGCCCCATCGCAGCCTGCAGCCTCTCCCACAGACACTAAGGCACTTTTCCTTGTGATAAAATCTTTATGCTCCTAAATTCTTGCCTTTCACATAAATTCCCTACCAGAGATGACAAGTTCATATATGCCAAGTGTCCAGTCTGGAAATTAACGTGTGCCCAAGAAAACAAGTTTGGCTTCCGCCGTGTGCATGTCCATATCTGTCCCCTCCTTTCCTGAGAAAGGCCTGTCAATCTGCACACCTGGGCCTTCAGGTCCTGGGATCTGTCCTCCCTCTGCCTGCTCCGCTGTCCGCCCCGCCCCCACCCTCTCTCTATGCTGCAGCTACACTGGCCCCTGGATGCTGCTTGTCCAGGCCAGGTCTGCCCCAGGCCAGGTCTGCGCCTCCACCTGGCTTTCCCTGCCGCCCCTAACAAGGCTCCTCCCCGCATCTCCCACCTGCAAGGTCCACCTGACCGGACCCTGATTCCACACTGCAAACTATTGCGTTCTGAAGTCTCTGACTTCTGTGTCTCTCACGCCGTGAGCCCGCCAAAGCTCCCCAGCTTTAAGGGCCCCTGTAATTCAAATGGGCCCACCCAGAGAATCTAGGAGGAGCTTCCTCTATACAAGGTGTAGGAGCTGAATTACACCAGAAAGTGTAACAAAGCACAGTCCCAGTTTCCACGCATAGGGATGGCATCTCTGGCAGGATCTGTTCACGAGATAAGCTTCTGCCTCTGGGGAGGGGTGAGACAGAGGCTTGGCTCAGCAACATCAGTGTTTCTTTCGCGTTTCCACCACATTTGTCTTCCGTGGCCCTGTTCCTTTCTGGGATCATTTCCCTACAGCCCAGACTCTCCATGAGGGCCTGGGCACGCAGGCTCTGTCAAGGTGGGCTTCCAGCTTCTCCAGCTTTGGGCCTCCGGAGCTCAAGCCCGGCTGGCCCAGCCTAGCTGCCCCCACACTGCCCTGTTACAAGGATGTGATTCCATTAGACCCACAAGGATAGTCCTGGATAAGCTCCCATTGCAAGACCCTCTACTTAATTCACATCTGCAAGATCCCTAACATTGGGAGCTGCACTTGGGAGCCCATTGATTGATCAGCCTGCCACAGAGGGAGAAAGAACACCACAGGGGCCATTCCAGCAGCTTGCGGACAGGAAAGGGAAGTCAGGAGGCTGAATCAGCATGCGGAAGGGCCGCAAGAGCAACCCCAGCACAGAGGCAGAGGGAACCACATCAGCTCAGCATCCCCCACCCCGCACCCCCACGCTGGCTTGTCTGGGAGTGGAGGCTATTTTAGCCAAGTCAGGGGTTCCTGGGGAAGCAGTGCCACCAAGAGCAAACCTGGGCTGGGAGCCAGGATCCCTCTGTCACTGAATCCTCTATTGGGGGTACAGGGTGGGCAAGTCACCCCCTCTGGGGGCACAGTGACCCCCATGTCAGGGGTCAGATCATATAAGCTTTACCTTCTGGGGTTCCTGAATTGACAGGTTTGGGATCTGGGAAAACTACCTAACCTCTCTGTGCCTCAGTGGTTTACATGGACAAAGTAGAAATGAGCATGACCATCCCTCACAGAGCTGTTATTGGGATTACATGAGGCCCCACTTAACAGCTCCGCACACAGCAGGTGCACAATAAAGCTGGTTCAGATGGCAACTTTCAGCTGATTTCAGTTCTTTCTGGCAGCCTGGCAGTATTATCATGTTTACCAGAGTGAGATCGCATGACACACCCTCATCTGTTTAGCCAGTCTTGATTGCTACCTGCTCGCTGACTCCAGGCTCTGGGAATTTACAAGGTAACACAGATATTCTAATGAGGCCATTGGTTTCTGCTGGTCCTCCTTCCTAGAAAGTTCTTGGCCATTTTTCTGAAATCACGGAGGAGCTCCAGTTCTGACCTCTGTGAGTCTTGGAAAACAGCAAATGCCGCCGTCCAGAGGACAAGTGTTTCCAAGACAATCTTGGAGGTGCCGTCTGCTGTGGGGATATCACTCCCTTCCTTTGGCATGATTTACTCTCTGTACATTCTGGGAGGACGCCACAGTTTGCAGTTTTGAGGTCTTTATGCCAGACTACCTGGGTTCAAGTCCCTCTCTTAAGCTCTCTGCCTCACTTTCTTCATTTGCCAAGTGGGGATAATTTTAGCACCGACCTGTGGCACCATTATGAGGATTAAATGAATTAGTACTTGTTTCTATTCAGAATCGTATCTGGTGCAGTGACTATGAGTGGGCAGTGACTAATAGTGCGTTGTTATCGGTCACAGAAGCAGAGGTGGTTCCCAGGGCAGGCCACCTTGGCGCAGGCTACTCTATCAGGAATGTGCCCGTGGCCGGACTGATATGGGGACTGATGCTCAGGAAAGTGACCTTGGAGGAGAACTGCTCGGGGCCAGAAGGCTGAGCCACGATTGGGTGGACCGACCACCACCTGCCTGTTTCCAAGCACAGGGACCCCTGGACAAACAGGGTGGAAGGGAAGACAGGTCTCCGCTCCCCAGCCCAGTGGGGCATCCGTGCTTGGCTGGCATCTTCAAGACTGTACCAGCAGCCCCGCAGAGGGCACACGGACAACCTCCACTTCCAGATGACGTCCTTGTCATGAGCCAAAGTCACTTTTTAACAAAAATTTCCATTCCAGAACTGTGGTGTCGGGAAGGGGCTTTAGGAATCATTCAGTCTTTTTGTCCTGCGGGTCCCCCTGGCTACCTGCTTGCCCCCAGAGCTGAGGACCAGCCTCACACAGAATTAATTCAGCAGTCGGTGACCAAGGCCATTGGTTCCAGGCCTGGAGCCGGCGCGGGGGACAAGAGACAAACCCGGCCTAGGGGTCCCGGAAGAGGACCCTTGCTGCAGGCAGGGAGGGGGCCTGCAGGACACTGGCGCTGCCACGGTGTGTACCAAGGGCAGGAGAGCCTGGAGCAGGCAGGCAGAGACGGAGACTTGCCCTGGGGTGTGTGCAGGAGATTGCTGCGCCCCCCCTTCAACCCTGCTAGCCTCAGTTTCCCTGTCTATAAAATGGGAGTGATCTATCCCTCCGGATAGCTGTGGGGATGAATCCTGAAGACAGCAGTCCCTAACACTCAGGAGGTGCTCAAAAATCCAAACCCCCAAAAACACCCGGGTACATTCAAGGCCAGTGAGGAGCGACAGGCTGTCACCTGAGGGCACGTTTTAAAGACCGAGCGCCAGCACAGGCTGCAAGGAAGCTTGGGGCGGGTAAGTCCCCGGTGCTGCCCACCAGCCTCCTGCTCTGTGCAGGCTCCCTTCCAGCCACCTGGAAACTTCCAGAATCCTGGGGCGCTGGAAGCCCCACGGCCGGGTGGGGGGCTCCATCACACAGCTGCTCGGATTTCCAGAGAGTTCTTTTTTAACGTCCTGTGCTAAAAGGCTTTGTTTTCCAGGCTCATGTGACCCTCCCCTCCGCCCGCGCGGGCCGGGCGGGCGGGGCCGGGTGTTGCAACTTCGCGCCCCAAAGCGCTGATCAGCTGTTGCGCGGCCACGTGACGCGGCCCGGGGATAAAGGCCCGCCCGGCCCGGCTGGGCTCAGCAGCTCGTGGTCCTCACCACCGCCCTCGGGACATCGCAGCCCAGCGGAGCCCAGCGGAGCCGAGCCCAGCGAGCCGCACCAGCCCGCGATGGAGCGCCAGCAGCCGGACAGGCGAGCACGGCCGGCGGGGCGGGCGGGCCGGGCCGGGGAGCCGCGCCCTGGGGCTTTGGAGGCTGGAGGAGCCGCTGCCGAGCCGGCGGGTGCCTGGGTGGGCAGAGGGGTGAGAGGTGGTGTGCATGCCTGGCTCCCCGAAAGGGGTCGGGTCAGTAGGTAAGGCTGTCACTCTGGGGGCAACTTTTCTCCTCGGACTTTCAGGGGTGCTTGGAAAGGACCCTGCTGTAGCCAGGGGCTGCCCCAGGCTGGGTGAGAGTGGGCGCTTTGCTCACCCGAGCCCGCTTGTGGCAGTCCGCTCTCACCAGCTGTCCAGCACCTGAACATGGCAGTCTGGGGGCTCTGGTGCCCCCAGTTTAAGGTTGAGGGGGGCAGCAGCCCAAGTAGCTGGCCTACGGCATCAGAGCTGGGAGCGGGGATCGGACCCTGGGTTGTGCGCCTCTGAGTCTGGCCAGTTTCCTTCTCCCGAAAGTTTGATCAGCACCTAGAACAGGAGGGTGGTGTTTCTGGAAGGAGCTTAGGAGAAAAAGGAGAAATGGCGATTGGGGGGGTGGGGGGGTGGGTGGATACAGGCGAACATCTGGCAGAGATACTTCCAGAAAGGCACTTGGAGTAAAGCAGAAGTTTGCAGCTTTCTGAATCGAGACGCTTTTATGATGAGCAAACATTAAGGGGGCATGAGATTGTATCTGAAACAGCAACAAAATAAATGAATTAAATCCTGGGTCTAAAAGCCAACCACAGCTATTTTGGTGTTGAACATGAATGCCCAGACCCTGCCCACTGCTGCCTCTCCTGGGCTGTGCTGCCCCCCAGCCGCACTGAGATAGCCGGGCCATGTTACGTAGTATTTTAATGACTGAAGAGCTGATGGGGCGGTGTCTTCAGGCAGCTGGGACCATGGTCTATGTATTAGATGGGAGTTGGACTTCATTTCTGCAGAGAAGCCTGATAAAGGTGACACTGGCAGCACCCTCAGAAGCTCACAGCCAACCTCTTGTCCCCCTCCCTCCCTGCCTCTGCAGCAGGCCCCAGGATTTGTCAGAGGCCCTGAAGGAAGCCACCAAGGAGGTACACACCCAGGCCGAGAATGCTGAGTTCATGAAGAACTTCCAGAAGGGCCAGGTGACCCGACAGGGCTTTAAGGTATGTGGCCTGATGGGACCAGCCCTGGTGGGAGTGTTAGCAGGGGTGGGTGTACCCAGGCATCAGACCTAAGGGGGTCATTTTACAGAGGATGACATTGAGGCCCAGAGACAGGAGATGACTCTAAGGTCATACAGCACATCCGCTCATGGTCTCTGTAGTGTTGGGGCGGTCATGCTATCCACTGAGCTTTCCTGCTGTGCCGGGCATTTTATGCAGATGGTTTCTAATCTGCGCCTCACCCTTGATAAGGAAGATGAAGGGAGAGGTCAGAGAAGTTAAGTATCTAACAGAGGGTCACACAGCCAGTAAGTAAATGGAAAAGGCCAACATCAAACCAAGGCAGGTTCATTTCAGAGCCTCTTCAGCAAGAGGGTAGGCTGGGCTGAAAGTCCCAGCACCACCATTCAGTGAGGGCCCGTCCCCAGCCTCCCTACAACACCTCTCCTTGTCTGTGGAATGACGCTCACAGAAGGGTTTTCCTAGGCACACACTTCCCAGCACTGCCTGGCTGTTTCCCAACAGCGTTGGGAAGTTCAAGCAAATAGAGGAAAGCCCTTGACCAAGAACCGGACAGGTGACCCGTGAGGTGGGGCTTGTTCAAGTTGAACAGAGTGTGGGGCAGGGGAGTGAGCCCCCAGCAGTGTGCTTCTGGGGCCTTGGCTCGTGTGCGTGCTGGGGCCACTCCTCACTCCTTGTTCCTTGCCCTCTGCCCCCCTCCACAAGATGGCATGGGACAGTGGCTGTGATGTGGCTGGAACTGGGAGGCAACCAGGGGAGCACCCCATTTCAGCCACTGTAAACTTTGCCTCTTGCCTCTAAATGTCTGAACTCAAAGTGGCGGCAAAGATCCGTGACAGCTCCTTTCACTGATGCTGATGGAGGTGGCGTTTGTCAGTGTTGATTTCAGAGCCGCGCACTGGCAATACCCACTGCTTCTCCTTGGCCGTCCTGCCTGCCCCACACCCAGCCCTACCCCCACTAGTATGTGTGGTTGCGGTCATTGTCATCTTTGGCAAGGAGGGAGGAGGCTTGTCTGCACAGCATCACGCAGACCTTGGGTCACCTCCTGCCCTGGGGCAGGAAACTGAGACCCAGAGAGGGCAAGTGACTTACCCAGGGTCACACAGCTGGGGCCTGGCCAAGCTGAGGCTAGAGCCAGGATGTTTTCTTTCTACCAGGCCATGGTTTTTTGCCTGAGATAGATACAGGGCTGCTCTGAAGGTTAATGGCTCAGAAGTAACTCCGAAGAGTCACTTGGAACTTGCAAACTTTGCTCTTTTTTAAATTCAGTAAAATATTAATGTGTAACTGGAGTTCTCTGAGGCAAAGTACACTGGATCTGTCCCCCCAACCCCATATCCAGCGGTGGTGGGGGGCCTCCGGGAAGGAGCGTCTAGAGGCCAGATGCCAGAGGTCAGTGACCAGCACCTCCTGTGAGCAGTTAATCCAGGGCCCTCTGGCCAGGGGGGGCTTGACTCCACATTCATTTCTTACTGGCTGTGTGACCTCAGTGTTTCATGCTCCATCTGAACCTTAGTTTCCTTTTCTGTGAAAGCGGGATTGTTTTTTAAGGATTTAGTTAGACGTGCACTACTCAGTGGGACAGAAAGAATTCAGGCTCAGGAAGTGCTTCTGGTCGTTGGAGAGGTGGGTGTCCCTAAGGGGAGGCTTCACCCCATCCTGCTCTGCTTTCAGCTGGTGATGGCCTCCCTGTATCACATCTACGTGGCCCTGGAGGAGGAGATCGAGCGCAACAAGGACAACCCCGTCTACACCCCCCTCTACTTCCCGGAAGAGCTGCACCGCCGGGCTGCCCTGGAGCAGGACATGGCCTTCTGGTACGGGCCGGACTGGGAGAAGGCCGTGCCCTACACGCAGGCCACCAGGCGCTACGTGCGGCGACTCCATGAGGTGGGGAGCAAGGAGCCCGAGGTGCTGGTGGCCCACGCCTACACCCGCTACCTGGGCGACCTGTCCGGGGGCCAGGTCCTCAAGAAGATCGCTCAGAAGGCCCTGGACCTGCCCAGCTCCGGCGAGGGCCTGGCCTTCTTCACCTTCCCCAACATCGAGAGCGCTACCAAGTTCAAGCAGCTCTACCGCTCCCGCATGAACGCTCTGGAGATGACCCCCGAGGTCAGGCACAGGGTGATCGAAGAGGCCAAGACCGCGTTCCTGCTCAACATTCAAGTGAGCATCAGGCAGCTCGGGTGGCTGTGGTTCCCCAGCCGCTCCCCCGGGGAGGTTCTCGTGTGGTAGGGGAGAGGGCTGTGGGTCGTGGGTAAGTGCTGGAAGCCAGGCTTCCAGCTCTGCCACTTACTGGCTGGGTAATCTCAGCCAGATCCTGCCTCTCTCTGCCCCTCAATTTCCTCTTCTGTAAAATGAGGGTTAAAAGCCCCCAGCTCTTAGAGTGGCTGTGAGGGGTAAGCAAGTTCATTCCAGCCAAGCCTCCAGAGCAGCTGCTGTGGGGATGGGGGCCCTAGCTCATGCCCCTGAATCCCCATTCGCAGCGCGGGCTCAGGAGACGCCGGTGGGAGCAACTGTAGAAGCAGCACCCCCTGCACGCCAAGCAGGCAGATCTGTCTTCCAGACAGTTGTCATGGAAGGGAGGGGGGTGGTGTCAGAGCCAGAACCCCCCCCCCCCCCCCCAGGGCTAGCCTTTGTGCCTGCCCTCTGGGCTAGCCTCGGCAGGGCACATGACTGCTCTGTACCCACAAACCCTGGCCAATGAATCCCCAGACCCGCCCCTTGCCATGGGCGAATCTCACCCCAGAAGGCCAAGTGAAGGCAGCAGACTGCAGAAGCCCCTGTATATGCGAGGACACCACTCCTAAAACAAGGTTTGGCCTGGGGCCATCTGTCACTGAGACAACGTGTCTTCTGTTTTTCAGCTCTTTGAAGAGTTGCAGGAGCTGCTGACTCGGGACAGCCAGGACCAGGGCGCTTTGCTAGCATCAGGGCTTCGCCGGCGGCCCGGCAGCAGTGCGCCAGGTAAGGGGCGGCTGGAGGCTGCTTCTTCTGGGCTCCTTTGGAGGTGACGGGGCCCGGCTGTCTGCCTCCAGTCTCTTGGTGCTTCTGTCTTCTGAATGTTTTAAACGAGGAGGGGCAGAGGGGCCTGGCCTCAACCTTCAGGTGACCGTCAGCTTGGCCCCCAGGGCAGGCCGCAGGGCTCTCTAAACCTCAGCTTCCCCAGCTCCAGAATGCAGGGTGGCAGAGCTACTTTAAGTTCTTTGTCTCAAAAGTGAGCCCTCGCCCAGTGATTCAGGTCCCCTTTAGTGGTTCCTGAGCAGAGGCCCCCTGACGTGGGACACAGGGTTTCTGGCTGTGCCCCCCAATGGGATCTTCAGCAGCCATGACATCTCAGGGTCCTGTGTTTGTCTCCTCTTCATGTGCCTCCCAGAGTTCTCAGGCCATGCCCCGTGGCCCCCTCTCTTGGGAGCCTTGCAGTGTGTCCAGTTCTGAAGGGATGGGTCTCCTGGTGGGGGAGCGACGGGGCTTTGTCCTGGTGCAGTAGTTCTCAAAGGGGGCACCCTGGAGTACCCCCAGGGGACAGTCTCTTAACCTGTGGGCTGGCTGAAAATGGAGGAGGCACAGTGTGAGGAGGGGGTTCTCTCCCTGGCGAGCAGAGTCGTGTGACCTTAGGCACCCCCACCTGGATCCACCTGTGGTCGACATTGTGCCCCTTTCTCTTTCAGACTCCACTCCCACGGAGACCTCCAGAGGGAAAGCCCAGCTCAGCCTCCTCCCCCAGACGCCTCTGCTGCGATGGGTCCTCACGCTCAGCTTTCTGGTGGCCACGGTCGCCGTGGGGCTCTATGCTATCTGAATGCCGGGCCTGGTCCCTGCCATGAACTCTGTCCAGCAGAAGGCGCTCTCTCTGGAGAGGGAGGCTGTCTTGGCTGACTTCCTTACCTCTGACCTGGGAGGCTGTCGGGGCCCCCACCATCTCCCTATCCCCCTCTTGCTCAGGAGAGGAAGAAGGGGCCTGTGGCATGGTCCCCAACTCAGAGCACATCTAGCTGGGACCTGAGCTTCCAGAGTCCTGCTGGGCCCCTCGGCACCCTGTTCCTGCAGGTAGAGCCCAGAAGACCTGGCCAGAAGTGACCTCTGTCCTGGGCCTCCCCATGCCCCGGCTCTGTGGTCTCAGTGACACGCCGTGCCCAGGTTCCTGTTGGCCACGGCAACTTTTATATAATTGTGCAAAGATGTTATATCTTGTGTTTTTGTCTTGTTTTTTTTTTTGTGGAGCCACTTTTTGTTCCCGGCTCAGCCTAAACTGTGCTAGTTTGTTGTGTCCTATTATGTTTTTATAGCAGGGTTGGGGTGGGTTTATGGGGGAGGAGGGAGGGCTTAACAGCTCTGTGGCCTTGGCCTCTAACTTTCATGTGAAATAATAAATGACATTGTCTGACAGTACCTTGAAGTGTTTGTCTTGGGTTCTGTTACTCTTGAGAAACTGACCTGTTTGTCACTCTTTCTCCCTGTGGGGAGATAGGGGTGAGGGTGGGGGTGGTGGGAGCAGATTTCCGATGTTGTGGCCTGTTCTGAGAATGTGGGGGATAATTTTAAGCAGTTGGTGGATGAATCTTTGTGGCAAACCCTGCTTTTTGCAAGCTCAGCTCGACTGACAAAGAGATTGTTCTGTTGGGCTGAAATGAGCAGGTTCTGGGGTATAATTGATGTCATATGTACAGGGAACCCTAGGGGTGGAGTGAGATCCCTGGGTTCAAATCCCTGCTACCCGCCTTTGCAGCTTGGCCTTTGAGATTGTTAGTAACCTCTCTGGGGCTCAGTTCTGTCACCTGTCACCTGAATTCAGGGGGGTCACCTCACCTGCTGTGTCAAGTAGCAAAATCCTTACACCATGCAACCTTAGCTCCTGTTAGGAGAGGAGGGACATCAGTGTCTGTGACTCTCGCTAGTGAGAGTGACTTGTGACTTGTGACTCTCACAAGTGTCTTGTGCAAAGATGGCGCCTCACCTTTTTTTTTTATAAATATAATTTTTTTTAATATTTGCGCAGAACTGATGTAGGCCAGTGGAGCAGGGTGTGAGAGGATTCACCGGAGGCAGAGTGGGGAGCAGAACAGATGGATTGACTGAAATATACTGCTGAAGGGAGCAGCGGGGAGACAGGAGAGGTCTGTTGTGCCATGTGGGTCAGCTCCCTGGCTGGGGATCGAACTCAGGTGATACGGATGATAGCACTGAGCCTTAACCCCTAGGCTACCAGGGAGGCCCTCACCTGTATCTTGTTCTCCTCACAGCACACCAATGAAAGGTGTTGCTTCTCTCAGAGTCAGGAAGGCTTTAAAGCAGGTCTATTGAGCTCTAAGCCCCAAGCCTTTTCTGCTGCCCTTAACTTGTGAAAACCCCCAAAATATGAACTGCACAGCCTCCCCACTGGGGATATGAAAGCCCCTCACTGACGGTGTATTTGGGGGAGCAGAGGACAACCTTCCTGGCACAATTAGTACATGGGACTGGGAGTCGTGGGCCCATTGTCCCTAATCCTGGCTTGGTCACTGAGTCTGGATCCTAAGAAAAATCACTTCAAGTCTCCTTTTTACTTGTTGGCAAGATGAAAAGCAGCATACACCTCGCTTCCTCAGCAGCTGGCAGGGTCCTGCGGTGGCCAAACAGTCTGCGTGGTGGCATCAGAGCCCCTGGGAGGCTCCAAAGTGCAATGAGGACCAGGAGCCACCATCTGTGAGCTTGTGTGTGCAAACCTCGGGCAGCTGTAGCAGTTACAGTTCTTACACCCCAGTCCCAGTTTCCTTGGAAAGGGGCCTCGTTTGTTTGTAGTGACAATGAAAGGAAGGAAGGGAGGGAGGGGAGAGAGCCAGACCATCTTGAATTCTATTAATAAGAAAATGAATCATTTGTGTTCTAGTCACACTATGGAAAATAGGTGGCTGTTCAGTAGAATGACGTCCATCTAGTCTCCACTCCAAGGGGCTTCCAGGAAGTATTAATGAGAAAAGCCAGTTTCAGACTCATTTGATGTCATTTTTACACACTGCAAAAACACACGTTTAGAATGCTCATTATAGGGCCTCCCTGGTGGTGCAGAGGTTAAAGTCTCAGTACTATGAAGCTGTCTGCAGCTGCTGCAGCACGCGTTCCATCCCCGGGCAGGGAGCTACCCACATGGCGTGGCAGACCTCTCCTGTGTGGCCCGCTGCTCCCCTCAGCAGTGTATTTCAGTAGATCTGTCTGTTCTGCTCCCCACTCTGTCTCTGGTGAATCCTCTCAACCCCTGCATCTCTGGTCTGTACCCCAGTTCTTGTATGCACAAATGAAAATAAATCTTTGAAAATATGCTCATTGTAAATATTTTTGTGTGAATGTAGCAAAGAATACAAAGTTCCCTCCAGTGGTCTTGGGGGTGGGTATGGAAAAGGAAAGGGAAATGATTCAGTCCTTATTGCTGCAGGTGAGTGTGGTGATTTTCCCCCAAACTGTCCATTTTCCATGCTGGGTTGGGAATCTGGTCGTGAATTTTCATCAATTTTAAGGATGACCAAATTTCATAAATGTGAAGTATGGTGAAAAATCTACAATTAGGGAAAAAAAATCACCATTTGGGTCTAGGAAAATATCCTTGAGTCCGAAGTTTGTGACGACATTAAGGCAGTGACTCCAAACAATATCTGATGGGAAATTATTTCAGATTAATCTCCAAGTTTTGAGTTTAAGTTTTTTAATTTTTTAAAGATATATCCATCTATGCAGACAAGAACTGGGGTACAGGCCAGACATGGGGGGGTGAGATGACTCACCAGAGACAGACTGGGGAGCAGAACAGGCAGACTGACTGAGATCCACTGCTGGGGGGAGCAGCGGGGAGACAGGACAGGTCTGTCGCACCATGTGGGTAACTCCCTGCCTGGGGATCGAACTCGTGCTGCAGAGGCTGCGGACTGCTTCGTAGTGCGGTGCTTAACTGCCTGCTCCACCAGGGAGGCTCTGATCTCCAATCTCTGAGAGAACACGGCGGCCGGAGCGCTGCGCCCCCTCCAGGAGCCGCGAGGAAAGCAGCGGGCCCAGCGGCCAAGCGAGCACTTCTCAGGGGCCCGCCCCGCCCCGAAGCCCCGCCCCGGACCGAAGCCCCGCCCCTCCGCCATCTTTGCATCCACCCCGCCCCTTAAGAGTTTCCTCCCGGGTCAGAAATTTCGCGCCAAATTGTCCGCCACACAAAATGGAGCCCGGAAGGAGGGCAGGACGATGACATCATGATGCCCACAGCCAATCCTCTTCAGGTATCTAGCTAGGGGGGCGGGGCTGGCGGGAGCAGAGCGGCCCAATCGCAGGCCGAGCGTTCTGGGCGACCCAATGGGAACGCGGCGGCCGCCACTTCCGAACGCGGCGCCTCCTTTTTCCCCGCGAAACTCGGCGGCGGAACGTGGGGCTCTCACCCCTCTGGCTCGGTGCGCGCGGGGGGAGCGGAGGTGAGCGCGGCGAGGCCGGGGAGTCGGCCCCACGGGGGTGGGCGGGCGTCCGCGCCGGGGGGCGGGAGCGGCAGGGCTTTCCCGGGGCGCGGCCGGGGCCGGGGGGCAGCGCGCCGGCCCGTCAGCTCCTGACAGGCGGACCCAGGCCGCGCGGGGGGGCGCGGGGCGCCCGGCCTGCGCCAGCTCTTTGTCCCCCCGCCAGGTGCAGTCATGTCGGGCTTCGACGACCCCGGCATCTTCTACAGCGACAGCTTCGGGGGCGACCCCGCGGCCGAAGAGGGCCAGGCCCGCAAGTCGCAGCTGCAGAGGCGCTTCAAGGAGTTCCTGCGGCAGTACCGGGTGGGCACCGACCGCACCGGCTTCACCTTCAAATACAGGTGCGGGCTGGGGCGGGGCTGGCCGCGCGGCTTCACCCCGGGCCCTTGGTGACTGGACAGTCCAAGCACAGGTGGGAAAACCCGGCCGGCGGTGAAGGAGCCCTCCCGGGGCCCCCGGAGCGTGACCCAGTGGTGTTTTGTCCCCTCAAAGCCACCCCACTCCCCCCTTGTTGCCTGCATTTTATACC